CTACTATATATATATATATATATATATATATATATATATCTAACAAATTCCACCATCAGACACATTCACACATAATATACGGTCAAGTGGAAGGGATCAAAACCCATAGAATGGAGCAACGGTGGGCAGACAATACCCATAGAAACAAAGAACATTAGAGGAAAGAAACTCACTGCTGGACCATCGTCACGACCATTTATTCCCAATAATTGCCCACCTGGTCTGTTTGTTGTTCGTACAGGAACACCTGCATATTTCAAAATTTGTCAACTCTTAAACACCCAAATACAAAATAAGGAGGTAACTTAGAGAAAGATACCTACATCTGAAGACCAAACTTCGATAAGATAACAACTCGAACTTAAACAAAAAGATCATGATAACTTGCTTGTTTTTACAAATATGATTTTCTACTAATATATATTATAGATAAAATATAGCCAGCAGAATTAAGCAAATTCAATTGTTTATCTTATGTCAAAACTAATCTAAAAAACATGGATTATGTGCCGTAGCATATCCAGTATCAAGACATTGAACAGTTTTTATTGAAGTATATTTTAAAAAATTCAATCATCTATAGAAGAAAAGAAAAGAAAAGCAAGCAAAAATCAATGTTATCCATCTCTAAAGACAATCTTGGACAACTTCATGACTGCAGGACCAAAATAACATACACAAAACTACGGTACTATATGCAGCATGAAGCTTGTGTTGTACTTAGTTCGTAAATCACGAGATTTTAGATAAAATTTATGTCATATCAATAATTATTACTCATACCAAAAACTATCACTCATGAGATCAATTTCGCTGCTGGTTCAGGAATTTCATTTTTTTATAATATTTTCCTTTTTCCATAATTATACATAATATGTTGGATATAAAGAGTGCAGAATATGGACATTGTTATCTTATCTATTATATAATTCACTAAACATCATAGTTATGATGTCCCTATTTTTATATTGATAATACGTATATTTTAGTTATTACGAAGAGAAAGGATGACACCTTGTGGTGACCAGGTATAAATTAGGATATGACTATGGCAACAAATTATGTAACTGTCCATAGATTCCTCATGAATCAAGTGTGGATCCATCACCACGTTTCAAGTATCCATGCATCATGGACTTACCCTCCATTTTGCATCAACTATTGCTTTTTCCCTGAATGCCTTTGCGACTAACCTCACCTTGCTGAGAGCACCTTTATGCCTCAAACTATCATTTGCAGGAGGTACCCCACTAGGACATTCTCTAGTTAATCGCATAACTACACAAAAAATTGATGTAGGACAAAATCCACATAGGAAGAAAATCCTCCAGAGCCAAGAGTATTTGTGAAGTTTCTCAAGACAATAGCTCAACAATAACTCTTGGAAATGTCCACTACCGACCCTTGGAATATAGTCCATCAAGTCCCAACACCAATTCCCTAAGCATTAGGATGCAACAACCTCCTTTCTTGGCAATTCCATGTTAGACCTAAATTATGATCCAACTAAAGTTTCCCTTGGGGGAGAGAGAAAATACTAAGCAAACCATAGCACTTCACTATTGCACAGTATAGATCACTTTCTTACCAAAACCATATTCACAAGATCATCATCCACCTCTTGCAAACTTGAGGCATTCTTGGAGAAAGATGATTGCCTTGAAATGGGTAAATGGGATAGAATTAGGCAGCACAATGCATTGCAAGATGAAGCATCAATCTCATAATCCATGATAAATCCAACTATGCAAGTAACGAGACAAATATATTAATATTTAGACCATCTAAACGAAATTCCAGGGGTAACACATTCATGTCAACCTTCAATCGACAGACAACAGCACAAGATTTTGAAGAGAGCATACCATTAATCTGTAGATCAGTATACTGGGGCCACTGCATCCTAAATGGTACCTTATCATTAAGAAGAATGCTCCATACCTGCAATGCAGTACACATCTCATTAGAATGATTATACCTAAGCCACCAATGACATTTATAATTCATAATAACAGAACTGCAAGTCATAGCCAGATGAATCTACAAGAACAAGTCCAAAGAATCTAGAAGAAAAATTTAAGGATTCTTGAAAAACTAGCTCGAATCCTCAGGGAATTATTTATTTTCTGAAATATTGACAACATGTATGAAGATAATTAATAATTACAGAGTTCTCATGAGGGTTGAGGATGGCATCCTACAAGTCAGGTTCTCTTCACAAAAAAATATAATCATAATTACTAGGGGATCAAAAAATGATGCAGGCCACCCACAAAATGCAGGAGCTCAACATCCAAAGTAGCCAAGGGTGTAGTCCGCTAGCAACCAAGAATAAAAAGCCTGCAGTGGATGCACCTGCAAAAACGATGACAGAGAGTTTCTAGGAAGAATATTGGGGAGGGGGGGGGGAGATGAAGAAAATATGCCGAGTAAGGGGGAGAAGCAGGAGTTAGCATATACTGAGATATAGTCAGGTACTGGCGTCTAGAGGGTAGCATACAAAGAAGTTGAGAGACAAAAATGTGTGAGGCATTGTCAGATAGCAAGGAGAGAAAAAGATGGAGGGAAAGAGGGAGGAAAGCTGTTGGAAAGATAACCTTAGAAAGAGAGGGAGAAGTACTTAGAGAGAGGGAAGAGAGAAGAAAAAAGGGAAGTCCTTACAGAGAGGATAGAGAGAAGAAAATAGGGAAATTAAGGCAAGGGGTAGGCCCACAAGGACATGGTTGGAAGTAGTGATGAGGACATATGGCCTCACCAAGGTATGGCCCTCAATGGCACAAAATGACAGAATAGGATTCGTGTAACCAACCCCATTAGTTGGGAAAAGGTTTTGACGATGATAATGATGATGATGGGTATTGTTCATGTTATTGTTCATGGGTTACTGTTCATTTGGGTATTTCTGGAATATTAGTTTTGTTTATAAATATTTTAGAATCTTGAATGTTTACCTGGATCTCAAATTCATTTTAAGGTTCCATGGGCTTATAAAAGATTCAATGTCAAATATAGGGATGCTTATGCTATTGGAATGAAATTTATTTTATGAAAGAAGAAAATTCTTCTTTTTTGCTTGATATACAACCATATGCTTTCTCTATTATCACTGATTTTACTTATTTTAAGGCTCAGGAAAAGGTGGAATTAACTTCCCACCTTTCCTTCCTGTATCACAAGTTCTCAACCTAGTGATCTAACTAAACTAGGGAAAGGCCCAGCCATAAACAAGCCTCTTCTAAATGTGGCAAGCTTGGGCCTTGATACTTTTTAGTGCCCTAAAAGGAGAGCAAGGACACATCCATATGATGGGAATGACGATTACAAAGGAGACATTGACACGGGGCCCGTTTAAGTTGAAGAGACTGATGAAGAACTTGAAGTTTGCTCTACAGGCTCTCCATGCAAGGAGATTTCCAGGGCAGATTATTAGTAACTGAATTTGAGGAGTTTGTAACAATTCACCAGTACACATGCCAAGATCCATTTCTTATCCTTTTAACGCCCAAGGAGAAGGATAAGGTCAGTGAAAATTATGTATTTGATGTGGGATTCACCATACGATGGTGGGATTTCTCCAACCAAGGAGTCTGATACATAACAGGATGCCTTGTATTTTTAATTTTTATACTAATAAATTTTTAAGAATTTATTTTTACTGTTCATTTTTAGGGTTTTTTTTTTTTGGGAGGAGGTTATGAGTTGTTTACTTTTTTTAGGATTTTAGGATGTTTGGAAAAGTAGTTAGGCCTTATGGAATTATTTATTTGGGTACAAGTATCACGACACATTTTGTTTTAATTAGGACTTCTATTTCAATTAGAACTAGGACTTCTTGGGTTCTTAGTAAGGTCTTTTATTATGAATAGGAGTCCATGTAGACAATTAGAATTAGAATTGACTTATTTTTAGACATTCTTCTAAGGAAATTTATTGAATCTGTAGAGCCATTGAAGCTAGGCTTGTAAGCTTCTATTAATTTCTATTAATACATTATCCTCTTTGGAGTCTTTTATGCTATTAGAATCTAATGCAAGTAAACTTAGAGTCATCTTACTCACATTCAATCCCAATAACTGTGCCAACAAGACGAGAAAACGATGCAAATGCGTAAATTTATGGAAAAAGACCATAATTGGAAACAAATATAGGAAACTCTAGTTCAAACTAGAACTTCCATAGTGAATTCTACGAATGTGAAAAATATCGCCATTCACCAAAAACAAATGTTATCATGGTTGAGTTGTATAAAGCCATTACTATAAGAACCGACACATGTAAAAGCACGTGTAGACCAGGACAATACTAAACCCACTCAAATCCCCACTGACTTTGGAAAAAAATAAAAATATAAATAACATAAGAGGCATTCATGATAGGTGGTGGATGTATTTGCTAAAGATAGACAACCCAGCCCAATAGTATAATTCATTTTTAGTTATCCATCTTGGGAATGGCAATGGATGCTACAAATGCGTATTTACTATCATAATAACGCGCAGAGATTATACCCTCTCTCGGGGTCTGCAAGGGAGTCCATCTCAAAGATCTTTTCATAAGATCAAAACACTTTCTTTATTCTTCATTCACCATCTTTCATAATAGGGATGTCTTTCCCTTTTAAATACATATTAAAAAAAGAGAATATAAAAAAAAATAAAGCCCAATAACATTCTCACCTAATCTTAGTAAATCTCCCTTTCCTAATCTCACGTTAATATCTTCCTAACACCCCAAGAACATTCTCTCTCCTAGTCTTGGTAAATCTCCCCTTTCCCAATCTCCAATTAATGTCTTCCTAACAAAATCTTTAAGTCAACTAAATCCCTTAAAACTATGATTCCCTTATCTACGACCCTTAACAAAATATATCCTAATTCCTAACTCCCATAGGAAAATTTTTATTTTGCCCCTTGAATCGCTACAAGGAAGAAAAAGACAAAAATAACCCTACACAAAAAATTTAAAAGTAGAGAAATAAAAAAAATAATCCCTTAAAACTATGATTCCCTCATCTACGACCCTTAACAAAATATATCCTAATTCCTAACTCCCATAGGAAAATTTTTATTTTGCCCCTTGAATCGCTACAAGGAAGAAAAAGACAAAAATAACCCTACACAAAAAATTTAAAAGTAGAGAAATAAAAAAATAAAAAATAAAAACACTGCATCAATTCCTTATTTTTATATAACTTTCTATATACACACACATTTATATATATATGTGCGTGTGTGTGTGTGTGTGTATATATAAATATTTATTTATTTATTTATTTATTTATAGAAACACACACACTGTACTGTTGGGACGTTTACATCAAGCTGTATTCATAGATTATATACAGATGGGAACATATGCCATGAGAAGGGATGAGAAGTAAGGGATACTGTTGGGAAGTTTACATCAAGCTGTATTCATAGATTATATACAGATGGGAACATATGCCATGAGAAAGGACGAGGGGTGAGGTGGAGATACTTGGAACATATACCATGATGAGGGGTAAGGGGTGAGGGGGAGATAACCGGAATTGCATAATGGTACAAAAAATAGGTAATACTAGAACTTGCTGCCTCTTCCTCTTCAAATCTATCAGCGAACATGTTTGCCTCATTGCAGTAATTTTGGAAGGAATGTACTAGGATCCCTCGACAATAATACTTCTATAGTGTCAACCAAACAAAAGGGAAGGGTAATCTTTCTATGCCCTCCGAATGACAATAAGTGAGTCATCCTCAATAATGGGATGAGAAAACCAGTCTCTTTATATATACTCAATCTACTCTCAAGGGCACTGGCATCAGTAATGGAAGAGAACTTGATCCCAATGAGACCTACAAACAATCACACTCATACTGGTATTCTCCAAAATCCTCCCACCAAACTGACCAGATCAGGGCATCACAGTGAGTTCCCAACAAAATTCTAGTGAATGGATTCAGGTGGCAGGGGAACCCTGCAACGGGTTTCAATCTAGGGAGATGGCCCATCCTGGGTAGTCGCACCTCGAAATTCAGGCCCGGTTGCATGGCTAGAGATGACAATGCCCTCAATCTTCTTACGACAAAGAGAAGTGTCTTCTGCATCAGAGGATATCCCGCTGTTCCACTATTTATGACGCCCAAAACATTGTTGATAAGTACAACTTCCAGAATAAAGTATCATACAAGTCCACAAATGAGGTTGGCATGACTGAACTGTTTGGAAGAGGTCCAAGATGAAACACCATATATGTCTGAAAGAATGAATAAGGAATAATTGATAAAGAGGATTGCCCAATTGGCTCTTCTTATTCTTAACATGAATAGCAAATATTGGGGGACTGGAATGCCCTGTGATGAAGATGGTGAGAGCCTTATCCGCGGATGCGAGGCACTGAAAGCAGAGCCTTCAGTGGAGCACGGATAACATGGGTTTGAGTGTTCTTTGGAGCACATATTAGAATGATTGCACCAAAAAGATCCCACCAGTAATCGTGAAGTACCTATGGCTTTTGTTTCAACTCAGTAGCAACACATTTTGGAGCTGTCTTTAACTACATTGAATCAGAGTTTTACTGGCGGTGTTAGACTACACATGAATAGCTTTTAGATTTAAGATTACCATGTGGACATTCTGTTGCTTACTGGCTCGGTAGTTTCTAGAAACCAGATTTCTGGTCATATTGGGTGCAGGAGTGACAACTTGAAGATTGCCTTGATATTACCAACCTTGACTGTAGGGCGATTGCATGTAATGAATATTTGTGACCTGTAGCCATGACAATGCAGCCTTAGGGGACAAAATAGGGAAAGTGCAATACAATCTTCTTTTATAAGATGGCTGCTAAGCGCAGAATAACCCATGCCATTCGCTTGATAGGAATAGCATATAAGAAATACATGGACCAAAAGGAGTCCATTGTGTACCATTTACATATATTATCCCTATATACCAATTTACCAATTTGATATTTGCTGAAAGGAGCCTGGATAGGTTACTGCATGTTATTGGTCCAAGCCAACCATTGTGGACAAAATAGGGAAAGTGCAATACTGCCTTTATTTTCTAAGATGGCTTCCGAGCAAAGAATAACCCATGCCATTCTCTTGAATGATAGAGCAAATAAGAAACACAAAGACCAGAAGGATGTTGAGGCTTCCATTCATTCACAGTGGCAGGCCTGAGGAGAGATTCTATAGACTTTGAATGTATGCCGAATGAGGAAAAAAGGAGACTTGAGCAGTAGTGGTTTCTTGAGAAGGGTACCGCAGCACTTGATGAATTAGCTGGTCAATTTTCAGGACTACTGGCATCCACTGAAGGACTCGTTGATGCAATGCATCAAAAGTTCTATAATAGGGATGAGATCCATAGGCAGTGGGGTTCACATTCACAGCATTAGTCCGTTTGAGATGCCTATAAGGACCTTAAGCCTATTAGCTCGGTGGGGAGCTTGTATTAGGTCTACTGGGCTGGTAGGGAATGTGCTAAAGCATACCACATTCCATCTTAAGGGGCAATTATCCATGGGAAACAGATCTTTAACAATGCTTTGTTACCCATGGATGCCTGGGTTTAAGACAGCAGGGAGGTGTCCCATGTTAGTCGTCATAAAAGGCAGGTATGGAAAGGCCCATGACAACATGGACTGGCCTTCTATAGAGCATGTCATCAAGCAAATGGGATTCATGACCACCTAGAGAATGCGGATGGTGGCATGTTTTTCTTACCCCCGGTTCTTTGATATGATCAATGGGCCGTCACAGGTTTTACTTGTTATTCAAGGGATCTTATGCAGTAGAATCATTGTCATCATTCCTCCCATGGTTAAGGGGCCATTAATTATCACATCAAGAAGGAATCTAATCCTAATGTAATCAGGGGCATCTCTGTGCCTAAAGGGAAGCTTTTTAGTTCTCCCAGCTATAGTTTATGGACGACATGCACATATTTTTTAGATCGTAGAGCATATGGACAAGTTTTGGTCTCCTCTGACAAGCTACGATCAAAGGCATCAGGATAAAGCTCAGAAGGAATTCCCTCAGTACTATTGCCATATTGGTATAGGGAATGAGAGCTAAGGGATTGGAAGTTTATCATTATGAAAGTCAACAGATAGCTAGTGGAAATGGTAGATTCCATGCCATCAGGAAGGGCACATTCAAATGTTGATTTAATTCTTTTGCAAAGTTTGGGGCTTAGAATCTCAATGTTAAAACAGAACTCCGACTTCTGGACAGGTGTAAGCTCAATACTATTGGGCCTCCAAAGGTAATCCAATTCTTGTAGATGAATCTAGGAGGATTTCTCATTCCAGAGGTCTTATGCCAGTGGCTCCTCTCACTTCTATTACATGACTAAAGAAGGGATAAAACGCAGTAGTACACTTGGCGTCAGAAATTTATAAAGTGATGAATATGCAAGTTATTTTTTAAGCTTCTCCCTGAAGAGAATCCCCATATCTTAGAAAATTTAGCACAGTGCAGCAGTTCATAAAAATCTCATAGAGGACTCAACTGATCAGCCAAACACATATTCTTCAAAGGTTCTCCTTAGCAAGCCATTTCAGTGATATTAGCTATGAGCCATGAGTACAGACGAACTTGAAATATCATAAGCACTACCATGGGCAGGCAACATAGTACCTAACTTTTAGTTTTTAAACCATTTCTCATTTTTACAAGGGGGATGAACTTTTGTTCTACCCCTTCTGTGTTTGGGTACTCGTCGGTATAGTATTTAAATCACATTCTAAGGCACTTTGATACATCAAGTTATTGACAAAATATTTTATTATCAACAAAAAGAAAACCTTGACAGAAATAATCTTCATAACTCAATAAAAACTGCATATGATAATAATAAGGTTCTTCATTATCAACAATGATTTTCTATTATCAAGAATAAACGAGCCTCAACACAAACAATATCGACAATAACAAATACAGTACAGTTGAAAGCATCAAAGAAGCAAAAGATCTATTTAAGACCTTTTAGTTTGAAGAAAAAACGAAATACAATATAACAGATCTGTCCGACCTCAACACCAAAAAGCTACATGAAATTTCATCTTTAATATAGCTTCAGAACCAAACAAAGACATAAAAACACTAAGACACAATGTGCTTGACCTAACAAATTGGTGTAGAGAGAGGGTAGAAAAGCCAGAAAAAGGATTACTAACCTGAAGATCACAACCTGGTTTCTGCAGTAGCTCTCTATCTGTTCTAGTCAGTGTAAAAGTTTTCTCCAAACTCTGTACCGGACTTGTCCTACAAATGTGGAAAACTAGAATAAGTTTTGCAGAGGCCGAAAGAAAATGAAACAGAGACTACAAAAGCCAAAACTAGTATTGTATCAAGAACTTCAAAAGTAATATCAGTCAATACGTGAAGAATCCAATTTTCATATTCGATATACATCTTAAAGGATTTCATTGTATAAGATACAAACAGCTCTAAACTAAATTAGTGAAGAAACTAAAAGGGGCCAACTATAGGGCACTACCAAAGTTTGCCAAAGAATCATTTATCACGAATATATCACATGATATCACCACACATTGCTACCTACTAAGTACTGACAACTAGCAGCTAGTTAATGCATAAGGTCATGCCTAAAATTGTGCCAAACAGTGTATAGAATAGAGGATTGACAATTTTTTGAAAGTAAACAATATAATATTTATAAACAATAAATCAGAAAAAAAAAAGGATGTCAACATTAGAAATTTTAGTTTCACCTTATCAAAGAAATTGCTCATTTTTAACCGAAAGAAAACTGAATGGCACAAATTAAACAACATATTAAAGCTTAAAAATAGACAAATTTGTAATTTGTTTCAATAACATTTAATCTGTTTCATAAAATCAAAAAAATCCACCAAGAGCACATGTAAACATTAGCACGTGCCACAATTGTCCAAATTTTGAATCTTCCTTTTATCATCTATGGAAATTTTTACTTCTAGACAAAGAGCATAAAGAACCCCAAAACCAATGGTCCATAGCTCCAGGGATGGCAAGGCAATATCACATGTCTCTTATTCAAACGGATTAAAAAAAAAGAAACTCTCAAACAACCTCTACATTATCGAAGAGAATATGCCTCCTTGTTAGCTCCCATAAGAATGTGCACAAAGGCACCTCCTTGGTGTCACAAATGATTTCTACCCCCACGACCTATCATCCCAACCAAAAAAAAAGAAAATTCATAGCCAACCTTGAAAACATATGGGGATCCCTATAGGCCCACCTTACACCTTGCGACATTAAAAAAATCTCCCTCTACTACTATTCAGTTTCCCTAATGGAAAGGGAATATCAAAGGACAAGATTCCCATAGGCAAGTGTTCACCAGTGCAGAATCGCATAAAACCAAGGACCCAAATAACTTAAGAACTTTCTGCCTTAACCGTACCTAAAAATTCAAACCAGTGCTCCAACTAGGGGCTGGGGGGTCTAGGCCGCCCAGCGCCTTGGCGGCTGCCCAGAACCTAGGCAACCTTGGTTTAAAACTAGAGACAACATCCCACAATTCGGGTGCTCAGACTACGACAGATAAGAAGATGGAAGAGCAGAGTGAAAGATAAAACAACCTGAGTAGGGAAGTACATCAAAATTAAAAACTGAAGTCTGAACTACAAACCCACCTAAAGACTATACCAATATATCCCTTTGGAAAGCAAAAAGACAACTTAACGGCAAAAAGTGTATACAAAGTTTGCTTAGCTAAAGTCATTCTTGGAAGCAGTTGGAAGAAGTTGAGCTAGTGGCTGGTGGGTTCAGTGTACTGTAAATAGGTCAATTGCTCACATCATGAGAGAATTGGGCAGGTCTTCCAGCTTAGCAGAGGGGGAGCGTGCTGCCCTCCGAGATGAGACGGAGCTTTCTGTCGTGGGGCAGACCGTTATTGATGAGGCCATCTTTCGTCCACTAAGGTATCTTGTGGCTTCAAGGTTGCTTGGAAGCACAGATGAGCACTGACAAAGAAGAGGCGGTAGAGAGAGAGGGGGAGAAGCAGCATGAAGCATGATTTGCTTACAAATATGTACGAGAAGGGCTAGAGGCTAGACGGATTGAATCTAGCGAAGGGAGGAGCATAAAGGTGAGTGAGAGGAGAGAGAGAGAGAGATAGAGAGAGAGAGGAAGCCAAAAATACTTCAGAAAGTATCAGACCTTTATCTCCTATTTTTCCCGATTCTTGTTTCCTTCATCCTCTTTTTTTTTATCGTTCTATTTGTTCTTCTTCTTCTTTTTTTCTTTTTTCCTTTTTCTGCCCCATTTTCCGAGAGCAAGTGCAATAAGTGAATAGGAACAGGGAAGGTAAATGTAGAGAAGAGTAATAGGATACAGAGGGGAGAGTGAAAAAGAGAATGGTGAGTTAAGGAAAAGAGGGAATAGAACAGAGAAAGGTTGAGGTTAGAGGTAGGTGGGTTGGAGGGATAGAGAGAAGGGAAAGGAGAGAGGTGAAGGAAAGCGGAGCCTAGAAAACAGAGAGTGAGATTAGGGAGGAGAGGGGGGTAGGTAAAACGAGAGTAGGGAGATGGGGTAGAGGTTAGAGAGAAGAGATGAGAAGAGAGGGAGGGTAAGAGTGGGAATGGGTGGAGAGTATCATACCTCGTTTGAGCTACTGGGGAGGGTCGCTCGTACCTTGGCAAGAGCGTTCTATGTGAGCTGATCTCCCTGTGGACTGGAGCTGGGAGGTGCAGATTTTCTATAAATGTGTGATATTCTTGCATTTTTTATAACTCAAACAAAAGAAAACACCAAAAATACCCCACCCGATGGGTAATTTTGCACCTAGGGGGGCACAGGTACTAGGCGGGTGCCTAGGATCCCTAGGCAGGCGCCCAGGGATAGCCCGCCTAGTTGGTCTGCTCAGGCCTGGGCGGTGCAGCCAGGCTCCCCTAGCCCACCTAGGTAGCTGCCTAGGCATTGGGCAAACTACTTTTCGAATCAATGATCCCAACCCTATCTGCAGGGCCCAGAATATCCATCCAAGGTTAGTGGAGTATTACCAGGCTATTTATGGCAAGTAAGCTCACAGAGTCACAGTGATCTAGAAATATAAAGCAAAGAAATTGATGCATCTTAAATGGGTTCATTACGACTGGCTGGGTTCTTTTTTAGCCTAAACAACTTGACCATGTGACAGTGCCCTGATAGACTCTTGAATTTTATGTCCAGGACCTATTTAGTGGTTGAATCAAGTATATTGAATCAGTTAGTTAAGACTCTCTTGGATTAGTTACACAAAGGTTTCCACCCACGGATGGTCAAGAGAAGTTAATTTCAATGGTATCTCAGTCAGCAGCCCAAGCCCAGCCAGGATGGGAGAGTTAGGCAGAAACCATTTTAGGAGGGACGTGTTCCATCTTATCTAGCTTTGCAAGTCAGTGGGATTTACCGTTACAGAAACACTCACTCTTCTCGTCAGCCTCTAATTAGTCGATACAGCATTATCCTATCACTAATTGCAGTCTTCCCTCCAATCTCCCTCTATCCTTTTCTTAAGCAAGCCAACTCCGATGTCGACTCGTGAGCTATGGATGAGGTGCACAGAGAGCCTCATGTTTCTACAAACCTGCTTACTAGCTAGGGATAGTTGCTAGATGTTAATCTCCCTCAACCTTTCAATTTTTATAAGCCTTTGCTTACCTCTCTCTCTCTCTCTCTCTCTCTACTCTCTACTCTCTCTCTCTCTACTTACTACTACTCTCGTTCTCTCGTCTTCTACCTTATACGTTACTCGTTACTTACGTAACGTTACGT